TCCCGGCGAGAGAAGCTGAGCTGGGCGCAGCCATGTTTGTGGGCAGATGCTCCGCTGGGGACCCGCGGCTGCTGCCTGGGAAGCCAGGGATGCTGAATCCTGTGGGAAGGCGCCGGTATTTCAGTCCAGGCCTCGGAGGGTTCATTTGGGAACAGCGCCCTCTCAGGGACAGCTGCGAAGGCCGAGCTGACCTGCTCATCACTCTCCCTGCTTTGAAAAGGGCTTTCCTTAGGTACTGAGTTCCATCCCTTAAGAAGGCAGGTACCCTAGTAGGGAATATTTTTCTTGGGGCATGGAAAGAAGAGTTCAATACCAGGTTATACAAAAGGACCCAAACTCTAGCTACCCAAAGTTTTTGCTAGGTCTAGTCTAGAATGAAGCCAAAACCATTCACATTCATTCATTCATTCTAATAAAACAAGTTAAATCCCTGTCAGTACTAAGCTGGTAATATGGGCTCACCAATTTTGGTACTGGATTCAAAGCTGACGAGCACATACAGACTCTCCCTTCTGGGAGCTCCAGTCCAGGCTTCAGAGAGGAGAAATGAGCGGCGAGCCATGGGCTCACAGGAGGGAGGAGGTATTCCTTTTGTCTGGATCATGTGAGGAAGGCTTCACAGAAAGCATGACTGTGACCTGGATCTTAAATGATGAATCTGCAGAGAAGAGGGAAGACATCCAGCCAAAGTAAAGGGCATTTGCAAAGGCATGGAAACACGGAAGAACTTGGTTTGGTGAAGGCAGAATAAACAGTTTTGCTAGAGTATAGGGTACAGGAGGGTGGAAGGGAGTATCTGAGGCCAGAAAGGCTTTGCTTGCCCAAACAGGAATCATATGGGGGATAAGGAACCCAAAATAATGTTTTTACTAATCATCGTTCACATTAACTAAGTGCTCACCCTGGGCAGGGGCCTGGACTAAATTCTCAGTGAGCACTGTTGCGTTGACCTTCATGGAAGCTCTGCGAGACAGATCATATTATCAAAGAGAAGGGAGGTGGGGTGGGTGGGAACAGTTGTAGGCCAGGTGTAGGCAAAAGGAGTGACTTGTCTATAGAGCATTTCAATGCAATAATAAAACCAACTCGAAGTCAATCTGCTTTATATTAGCTACATTCTCACCCTCCTCCATGCCAAGGCAGATGGCTCTCCCACACTCCCTTTCACAGATGAAGAAACAGAGTAGGCTAATGGGCCAGGTGGGACTGCTAATGCTGGTAGCAGTGTGGGGGAGGGACTGAGGAGCAAAGAGGCTGGAGGCCAAAAGACAGGCCAGGAAACTATTCAAAAATTTAGGGAGAGATGGTTGGAGACACTCTTCCACCAATAAGGGGAGTCAGGAGAACAGATTTAGCATTTAAAGATGATGTGTTCAGCCTGAAGCATGTGTGGTTGAGGTGCCTGTGGGAGCTCCAAGTGGAGGAGTAGACTTGGGGAAGCTGAAGGGATTTGGGCAGGAATTATCGGAGATGGGTGCTAGCTAGAATCTCTTTAGTTACAATTCAGATTTCCTGCTTCCTCCTTGAACCCCAGAGCTGATCATCTCCTTCTGAGCTCTCTGCACCTCTGAGTAAGAAACCACGTGGAGCCCTAGTCGATTTGGTTCAGTGGATGGAGCATTGGCCTGCGGACTGAAGGGTCCCAAGTTTGATTCCATTCAAAGGCACATGCTCAAGTTGCAGGCTTGGTCCCCATTAGGGGGCATGCAGGAAGTAGCCATCAATGATTCTGTCTCATCATTGATGTTTCTATCTCTTTCTCCCTTCCTTTAGAAAATCAATAAATATATTTTAAAAAAGAAACCACTTGGATTAATAACTTACCCTTGGTTTTATGTTAGCATTGGAATATAAGCATGAGATAACATTGAAAATATTTAATAACTCACATGGATAGGAATAGAACAATCACAACAGACACCTACCTTTCCAGTGGAACGGGGCTTGAGGCCCCAGCTGAGCTAGGTGTAGAAGTACAAAAGAGAGTGAAAACATATTGCAATGCATAAAACCAACAAAAGAGCTTCTAAAATATATAATTAATGCCTATACATTAATAAGAAAAAACATTCCAACAGAAAAAAATTGACAAAGACAAAAAAAATGCTTCTATAAAAGATGCTGCATGGATGTCCTATAAACATAAGAAAAGATATTAAACCTCATTACTAGTGTCTGGAACTGGGGAGGTGTGGGTCAGTCTGGAGGGAAAGTCCAGGATGGCCAAGGTACCAGATGGAAAGAAAGAGGGTTCCACTGCAGAAATGTTTCAATATTTTAGTAACCAGTACAGCCATGATATTGTACACCACTGAACATCAGCCCTGAATATCTAATTTATTGAGGGCCTGTTGACACATCGAGCCCTCGATCCTGTGGAGTTGGAAATCTATCTTTTAAAAAAAGGAACCAAGTAATAACACAGCATTTCTGTATATTAGCAATAAAGAATTAGATAAATATTTAAATAATATTTTTTAGTTTTCAATAACAGTTGACATACATATTATATTAGTTTTAGGTGTACAACTCAGTGATTAGACATGGATATCACTTACTGTAATCACCGTGATAAATCTAGCACCCATCTGACACCATATATAATTATTACAATCTTGTTGACTATATATATTCCCTATGCAGTGCTTTACATCCCCATGACTATTCTGTAACTACCAATTTGTACTTCTTAATTCCTTCATCTTTTTCACTCGTTCCCCCAAGCCCCTCCCATCTGACAACCGTCAAAATGCTCTCTGTATCTGCTTGATTGTTTATTTTGTTTTTTAGATTTCACATATAAATGAAATAATATGGTATTTTCTGTCTTATTTCACTCAGCACAAAACCTTCTAGATCCATTCATGTAGTTGCAGATGACAAGATTTCATTCATTTTTTTAAAAATTTTGACGGCTGGATCATATTCCATTGTATATATGCACCACTTCTTTATCCATTTATGAACACTGCTTTTATATCTCGGCTATTGTAAGTAATGCTGCAATAAACATATGGATGTATATGTCTTTTTGATTTAGTGTTTTGAGTTTCTTCAGATAAATACACAGAAGTGGAATTGCTGGGTCCTTTGTTGTCTCTTGTTATAGCCTCTGTTTTAAAGTCTACTTTGTCTGCTCTCAGTATTGCTACTCAGCTTTTTTTTCTTCTCATTTCCATTTTCATGAAATATCTTTATTCATCCCTGAGTGTGTCTTTCAATCTAAAGTGAGTCTCTTGTAGGCAGCATATGTATGGGTCTTGTTTTGTTATCCATTCAACCTCCATATGTCTTTTGGTTGGAGCATTTAATCCATTTCATTTAAAGTAATGGTTGATAGCTATGTATTCCACATATGAGTGAGATCATGTTCTTAAAAAATCAGGTGCCTATACTGTATATGAGGCTTTCTGGTACCAAGAATTAACCAATCAGATGCAACCTTATTATGTGATGTGACCAATAAGATGCAAGTCTATTACATGACATATTTATGATTCAAGACAGGACATTCACACCGGACGAATTGTTGTGTTGACTGCTGTCATTGTTTTACTTTGAAAATATAAGAGAAAAGAGGTCAGTGTCCCTGACTAAATAGTCAGGTAGTGCATGTTTTAAAAATTCTTGTGGCACGGCAGTTGAAAATTGCTTCCTTTACAGGATGGGACAGAATTCACATCTTAAAGAGACATGAGACCTAATATACAGCAAACTCAATGTGAGTCAACACTGAGATGTAGTTGCCCCAAATAATTATGAGGTACCAGCTGCATGAGGACAGCATAGGAAATGACGACTATCAATGCTGGCTGAGAGCTTGTTATATGGGAGACATTACGCTGGGTGTTCTCACATAGATTACTCATTTCATTTTCACAGCGACAGTGCAAAGTGCCATTATTCTCCCAGATAGAGAAACCGAAGCTTAGTAACAAAAATGAGGCAGAGCGGGGGATGGATGACCATTTTTATGAAGTGTAAGGTCTTGTACTGATTCATATACCCCAGATGTGGCTTGATGTGGCATTGGACAACAGTCACTATGTTGTGTTGCGAATAATTAAAGGAACTAAAATCTTCAAAGTTATATTCGAAGGGCTGTCACATGGAAGGGTGAAAACTATGGATATAGAATGAGCCAAAAGCAATCAATCTATTACTCACTCACCCTATATCTGCTGTGACATTATCCATGTACAAGATTTCAATTACCATCCTCTGGTCCATAATCTTAAACCTTCCTGTCTCCGGGCTATCATTATAAAATAATCATTAGTATTCTTTTAACAAAATGAGTATTGAGTGCTCATTATGTACCATCTACTGGACTAAATGTTTTGTATTCATTACAATGTAGATAGTTGAACCCTTCCACTAATCTTGAGAAGTAGCTATGACTCCTATATTGTAGATATTAAAAAATGAGGGTCTTGAAGGTACATTAATGACTCAAGGCTCTTCAACAAATACATGGTGAAGTTGGGTTCAAATCTCAGGTTTATCTGGCTCCAAAGGTAAGTTCTTTCTAGAACACAAACACACCCAATTCCAGAAAAGGCCGATCAAGGCAAAACCCACCGTGCACTTGGGAGGCCAGATATGGGACCCTCTCGGTGACTAATGCTTTCAGAGCTGCTATTTCATTCCTGAGAGCCGAG